TCTTATTTCTTTATTTTCTTTATCACTATGCGCTTGCCACAGTTTGATTTCAAGCTTATATGCTACATACAAACAATATTCAAAACACACAGACAAATTCAAGAAAAAGAGCAAAACATTCCACGTCATTAATGTACAAAATTCAAAAAACTATGTTTTACATTGCAAGAACTCGCACCAATGACACAATTGCAGCTAGTTTTAATTTTTTTTCATTCAATAATAGTTTGATCTACAACATGCGATCGGTCCAGTCGCAGAACTCTACAGAATTTATGAACTTTTCTCTACATGTTTAAAATTTTCTGTTGTAATCTTCCGTTCATTTTCGTACGAATCATTCATTTACTGTTATCACATAAAGTATTATTATCAATTTTGTGTTACATAATGATATTCTATTTACTTGCAGCTGCAAATTCCATTTTTTAAATTTAAATTTGATTGATTTTTAGAGATTTGGCACCCTCTTGAATATAGCGTAGAAATCTTTGCTTACTGCATGATGCATCTAGCTTGATCGATGGTCTCCTTTCAACTAAACTACAATAGCAGATATAAGGGATAGGGGGCGCTAAAGTCTAGAATTCGACCTTTGGACTCTTATCCAACCGAACCCACAACTAGAAATTACCGGAACTTAAACTCTATTTTTCGACTTTTGGCCAGCTTTTTGGGATTTGGTCCCACTGTGCATTATCACCAGGCTATGAGTTACGTAATTGTAAAATGGAAAATCTACGACGGAAAAGTGACGAATCGAAAGTATCGTGAGCGGGATATTATGATGTATTCATAGGCATACATGGATTAGAGCAATAGAGGAAAGAGAAAGGGAAGAGCAAAGACGAGCGCTTAAAAAGAAGGATAGGCAGGGTCAGACCCTCAGATGTGCGAGGATTCTCCAACGATAGGTGTGTACATGTGCTGATCTTTGTAATTATAAATTGTGAATACATGTGACTAATATTATTTTCTTTTTTATTTTGTGCATGTTACAAGTTATAAATAAATATAAACAAACAGCACTAACTCAACAACTTTAAATCTAAATACCAAAATAATTAATTTATTGTGTTTTTGTTATTTATTACTCCTGTTTTTAGGTATTTAGTAACCGAACATTCGTTACATCACAGTTATTTATATGACTCTGACATTGATCAAAATATGACCAAAGTCAATGTCATATAAGTAACATTTCATAATTAATTTCAGTTTTTAATTCTAGTTTTATAATCAATTCAGTTTATCTTTTTTAAAATTAATTTTAATTAAAGTACGGTCGACCCCCTATAACACTGTTGATTATTCCGTTTTATATGAATTCCATGTTGTATGAGTCACTTAGATTTTACAAATACATGTGCCGGGCTGTAACAAGTAAAACGGCAAAACCATATTTGGGACAAGACTATGTCTCGGAGATGAAATCACTTTGATGCTCAAAACAGGTCTCGTTCTCATTCTCCTATCTTCTTTGATATTGCTGCTTTTGGGCGCATTTGTTCAAACTTTGCTGGCCACAATGACAAGATCGTCCACGATGCATCTTCAATGAAATTAACTTATCTAATTTCGAAATTTCTCTCTGTTGCGTGTCGGCCCAGGTTGAATTTGTCGATGCGTAATGAAAAGTTCCCATTTTTGAAAAAAATAATCATGTCTATTGTATAGTCCGAAACTATTTTTTTATTTTGCACAAACAATATACAGTTTAACCCAATTATAATGTCATCTAATGTAATAACGACCCTAATATAATGTCAAATTTTTATCGGTTCCACGACTTTACTATACTAGATAATGTTAAAAAACCTACTTGTAACGACACTCTGTTTTAATGTCATATTTGAAGCACTCTCAAATTTACAAAATTATATTACAAATTTTATTTAACATAGAATAAACTACGTGTTCAGTCCTAAGATCAGAGTTCACTTCTTAGAATGACTGTGGGCGGTACTCTCCCGACTTCGGTGGGGTGAGGTGGCTGTTTTGCCTGTTTGTAGAAGAGGGTTGCCATTTTGTATTTTATTTTGACTCGATTCTCGGTCCCGACTACCTATGAGTCTGTATTTTTTAATGCACAAATAATTTGGGCACCTAATACTCTGTGCCAAATATCAACTCTCAGCATGTACTCCTTCATACCTCTATGCTGGTAAAAACATCAGGCAGTACGATTTTATAAACAAGACATAGTCTTGTCAAAAAGTATGAACTCATCAAAATTTTACTTGAAATCAGAGACAGAAACCTCAATTTAATATGTTAGAAAAAAGATCTTTTCATAATTTTTACATTATTTCAAATTATCAAAGTGTTTTCAGCAGTTTGATTCATCAGTGTATGATTGAAAAAATAAAAATTGAAATGACTGATTTTTTATCTGGAATAATAAAAGCTGAAGAATAGCAAGGTATGACAGAAAACACTTTTGTCTTTATACATTTAGTACTGTTATCAAACTTATAATATTTATAAAATTCAAAAATATCAAACTTATAAAATTTAGAAAGTTAAAAATGATTAATGTAAAAATCACTAAAGTCAACTATCAAAGCAAAGTGTCTAAACTGTATTAAAATAATAATGAATTTATTTCTTAGTATAAAAAATTCTATTCATAAAAGAAATTTACGTAAATTAAATACAGCTCTCCCTTGATAGTCCGACAGGTATGGGACCAAAAATAATTGCATATTTTGCATTGTTTTGCTAGCAGTGGCTTACAATATTCTCTACTCCAACTGTTCGAACGGAACTGCTCACAGAAAACACACAAAATATGTGTCATTGTGTAAGAATTAAATGGGGAGATTCACATCATGACATGCTTCTGTGCAAGCAGACATGTAACGGGGACGGGTACCTTGACGGGAGGTGTGTCGGACTACTGAGTATGTCGGATTAAAAAACGGACTATCGAGGGAGAGCTGTAGATTGAAATAAATTAATAAATAATATAAATATGACATAATTGTTATCAATTACAGATAATACATAATTTACTGTAAAATTAAAGCAAGTTCTATTATCAAATAAGGACACTTTATTTGTTTCATTTCTCTTTTTATCAGAGAATAAAAATTTAGAGAATAGTTAATATTTCAACTGTATCATTTTGTTAACAATAAACATTTTGAATATCAGAAATCTTACAAAGTTAAGAATTCTAATGCTAAATAAAATTTAAAAAATGATTAAATTTGTCTTTTTCATATTATTACATTTAAGTAATAATACACAAATAACAAATTATAAGTTTTTCAATTTCAAATTTTAATAGTACTAGTGATTATAAAGAAACGAAATAATATAATAATAAAAAATCAATCAGTTTATTTTATATATAAATATAATTATTATTTATGTTAAATATTAAAAATTTTTCATATTATGCTAAATCCAATACTTATAATTCAGTTCAATTTATAACTTGGATATCTGTTTATAAATAATTATCATCATATAAGAAATCTGATTTTTAATGTTGATTATAAAAGAATACATGTATTTAAATTATTTTACATAAACCTTTAAACTTATCCATTAATTCAGTCTTTGCTTTTACATTCAATTTATCTCACCTCCTTTTTTTCCAATTCTATGATCAAGAACTCGTTCAATTGTTTCTGAATTGTCTGCTTCTGTAGAGGCATCACCATAATCAACTTCAATTAAATCATCAGAATCTGTTTCGTCCATGCTTTCTTCTTTATAACTAATAGAATTATAAAATANATGTTTCTGTTATGAAAATAATAATTATTTCATAGCAGTGTTATACAAGTACCACAGAAGAAAATATGTAAGTGTCTGATAATACAGTAAACTAAGATAAATTTATATATTAATCAATCAATTAATATAATTGTAATCATTAAATTAGATGCATGGTGACTTAATCATCTACCTTTATTTCAAATTACATAACATCTATACATTTAATTAGTCAGGTTATAACTTGATAATGAATACCATCATCATTTGATCACTAAAGTATTCAAAATTTAAATTTTTTACACACTGTTTAAGATTGCAAGTCTTATATTTTTTAAATTAAATTAAAACAAGTCTATATATCTTATAGATTCACCTATTTGTTTGAATTAATGAATATAGATGTTGTTGGATAGAATAAAAAAATAAAAAATACAGTGGAATATGACTAAAACAATAATAAAAACATAATTATAATGAAATTTTTCCATAGTCCAGCCACAATACTAAATCTGCACACTTACAATAAAATTTGCTCTGTCCCTAATATGGCTATAATGAAAACATTTACTGACTTTGATTAACCCATTTTCCCTGAATGTAAAGTTAGCATATTTTAATTAACAATTTAATAATTTCTTGAATACTCCTGTCAAAGTATCTAAATAAAACTTTTACTACCATTTCATAAGCACACTGAGTTATATAATACAATTTTATTTATTTAAAAACAAATGCATGATATTCATTTAAACAATAAAACCTCATGGATTACTTCTAATTTTATTGGTAACAACATTAATTAATATTAATTTCAAATTATAATATCAGAATGAATTTTGCAAGTTCAGTTAAGGAAACAAGTGATAACTAACAAGATGCATGTTTGCATTTCCTGTAACAAAAATTAAAATTAATAATAATAAAAACCAAAAGTTTTCATTTAGCCATATTTTTTGCACCAGGAAATGTTAATATTAGGGGTAATTGATTGTTTATTTTAAAAATTTTGTTAATTAATAAACCATCACACAATAATTGACAATAACTTTTCAAATTATCATCATAATTTTTAAACAATACTCTTAAATGAAATTTTTAATAGAAACAATTTGGTTCTACCAAACTGATTTAAAAATGTTCTTTTCTGAAAATTCAATTTTTACATATAAATTAAAAATCTTCTATAACATACTTGATTAAGTACATTTTCTTTTTAAATAGAAATTCAATATAATAAAATTGAATTTTACTAATTATTTTGTAATTCTACATATAAGATCTTGTAAAAATTTTTAATAATTACACATTATTCTTCTAAAAATAATTTAAATCAATTAATTGAATACATACCTAATTTTCTTTTTTGTCTGCCTCAAATTTCTCTTTGCATCTGTGTCACTATCAGAATCTTCATCCATAGATGATGAAATTTTTCTCTTTTTTCTATTTGATCGATTATTTTGAAATGACCTAGATAACCTGTTTAAGTTTTTACTTGTTCTTAAATTTTTTAATGACGAGCCAACAGGTCTACGGGAAGTTGTGCGATTTGGAATTATAGACCTGGACCGAGTTAACGGTTCACTGTTATCATCATCACTATCAGAATCAGTGTCTTCACTGCCTTGCCAGTCAGCAGAACTTTAAATTAAAAAAAAAATGCTTTATTAACATACTAACAATATAATTATTCCATTTATATTTGTATAATATCAGAAAAATTATATATATATTAATAGTAATACATAATACATAAAGATCAATCATACAAACATTCTGGTACATTTGTACTTTTGTATTTGTATATACAACAAAATAATTGTTTGTTTCAGAAATTTAATATATAAAACTAACAAAATTATTTACTTTTATTCTAAGTTTGCAGTTTCAGTGAATCAATTTAGTAAGAATACTAATTAAGCAAAAAAGAGCTGGACTTGGTCAAAATAAATTTAACTTGTGAATGTTGATGTATATTTTTATTTAATATTTATTTTTTTTATAAATTTACTGTAGAAGATATTATGATCAAATAAATGATAATTATAACATTATTTTATGCTGTTTAAAACATGTTATTAATATGTCTTGTGTGTTGTAATATCTGATCAAAAATCACAAAAAAAAACCTATTTCAATTTAAAATAATTATTAAAAAAAATAAACATTAATTTGGAAATAAAAGGAATAATATAGTTTAGAAGAAAATTGACAGTTATTATTTCAATATTTCAGACATGTTTTACAAAAGATAAAGAATTAACTGAAACACTGATACACAAAATTCAACTTCTGAATTTAAAAAACTGCTATCATTCAAAAATTATCTTACGTATTTTATGAATATTTACACTATTTTAATCTCTAGAAGTTATTCATTATCACTTAATTTCATGCTATGCAGTTTTTCAATTATCTTTGAATCAGATAAAGCTACATATACTAGATAAATTTTATATAGACTATAATTCATGTATAATTTAACTTACATTTCGCTTTAATGTTATTTTATGAGTTGATCATTTTTTTAGAATGCTGTTAGTAATTTTGAAAACTAAAATGAAAATTTCCTTAAACTGAACCGTATGTTTGAATATGACTAGTTAAATTCAAACCATTATGATTTACATCTTTTTCTAATTATAATACAATAAATTTAATAACTAATTTGCTAATGTCAGATATTATCACATTATTGACTGTATCACTAGTTTAAATGAGGTCTTTTGGCTCTTTTTGCCTTGTGGGCACTGAGGTGGCCTTTTAATCATACCCATTATGGTTATGGCTAGGCTCATAATGGAATGAGGAATGGGGCCCAACATATCCCAAAACAGATTGTCCCTAAAAATTCCTGGGGGCTTCAATGGGTTAGTGATAGGAATAAAAAAAGACTGTGAACTTAACTTATGAGTGTCTGACTTGTATTTAATTTGGATTCCTCAAAATAGTAGGCAAATGTTATTTTGTGTCCATTCATTACAATAAATAGTTAAATTTAAGTTTATGGAGTTCTGATCTCTACATTTTGAAATTAAGATAAAATTTTGGAAAACTAAAATTAGTGTTTATAGTGTATAAAAATTTATTATTATTTTAAAATACTGTTAAAGATTTATTAATTCTTGTGATTACATACTAATGAAAACAATCAGTCAATTTTTTTTGCTATTCTCTTTTATTTATAGTCAAATAAGTTGTATAGCTTCTTCCCAGTTAATTAAAAATGTATTTATCCCACCAATTTTGTATGCTATTATGGTTTCTAAAAATTAATTTATTATAATTAATTTCACATGCAACCATTCTGACTAAAATATGACCACTTATCATAAATGAAAACAAAATTTTGAGCCATAGTAGTAATAAATCAAAAACAACGGCTTTAGAAAACTAAACATACTTATTTTGAAACTTTTTAATACATTCTTTTTTTCTAAAATTCTGAAATTTTTTTTACTTTTTAAAATAGTCAATTTTATTCTTTTCTACATTAGTTTACATACAGTATAAGCTGAATATAACCAAAGTGAAGCCAAAAACGTTTCAAATGAAGTATTTTGGTTTCAAAAACACTTACTACAACACCTTTTCTTGCAGTCGACGTTTATTAGAAAACTTTCAAACGTTTTCGGTCTTATTAAAAGACCTTTCTCAAGAAAATAAGATTAAATAAATAACAAAGTGTTGTAGTAAGTGTTTTTTGATATTAAAATATGCAGTCTAGAACGATGTGTATTTTGGTTTCCTAAAGCAAACAGATGTACAATGGATGATGACAACATTCATATAGAAACCAAATCCAAATTATTATAACTAAATGATAAATTATCATCATCATTTAGTATAATAATAACAACATTGTTAAGCAATATATTCAATAAAACTTATGTGGCAGTTATGTTTAGTGAATATACAAGTAAAAAAGAAAGGAGGGAGAATTGTTAAGCAAAGTTAGAAAAATGCTGCATTCATTGAAATTACAAAAGAGATATTTCCAATTAAATATAGTCAAGCTGACTACTCTGATCATTTGTGTCCTGACCATAATGAATCTTCAGTTAAATTACAATAACAATAACAAAATGTTAAATTACAATAAATTTCTTTAAATCTTTCATTTGTTAATGTAAATAAAAAATAACATTTTTATCACTAATTATCTTTCAAACTTGACAAACTATTAATGTATTTATAATTACAATTTACAAATATTGGTATAATCTGTTACTATCAATGGTATTAATAATTTTTTATATAGTTTATATTTAAACAAGAACTAACTCTTTTCTTTTTCCTCTTTTCTGGGCTTCTCTCTGACTGTCACTGGCATCGGAATCCTATATAAAAATATAATTTTTGTATTATTACATAAAACATAACATATACAAATTGTAATAAAATGAATTTCATACAATTTTAAAACCAAATATAGCTGCTTTTAAGCACAATAAAATGTAAAATAAAATAAATGAAAATTCTGAAATAAAATCTATTTAAAATATAAAACATAAAATAAAAAATTAGTTTTAACAGAATTCAATATTGAAACACTAAATAAATAATTATAATTTGAGTATCTTTGTAAAATAATCATCATATCACATTTTTATCATAAAATTACATAATATAATATATCAATTTTTTTATTCTTAATGACAATAAACTTTTGTCAGTTGGAAATTGATCTATTTTGATTTTCAGTTAATTAAAATTAAGTAGATTGTACCTATATTCCCCACAGACATTAACATTGCAATTATACTGCAAAATTTAAAGACCTTTATAGATAATTTAAACAAAAATAAATTGCATTGTGCATCGCAAATCATGTTTTACATATATATGAAAAAAATGATTTAACCAAATGATCTGTCACATCTGATTGTATATCTTCCTCTAACTTGTAATGGAATCTTTCAGAATAATAAATGTCATTGTTTCAAAGCTGTAATATCATTTTAAAATGCTTTCATTCTGTTTTAATAAATTTTGTAAAATAGATATCAATTTCAAACTTTACAATGTTTTTAAGTTTAATTTTTATGATTCAATTAACAGGAAATGTTATTCTTACAAAAAGCCCTTTTGCTTCTTATATTTTATTATTATTTTATTTTATATTTCTGATTATTTAAACATTGGCTAATTGAAATTTTTTCCCAGGTGTCTAAAAATTCAATTAACAAGAGTTTACCAAATTTATTTTGTAAAGATAGAATTTAAAAAAGTTTTTGATTTCCTTTCAAAAGTAGTATTAACATTAAAAGCTTTAAGAGTAAAACTCAAAATATTTATAATAATGGAATAAAATATATGAGCTCAGTCTTGTTAACGAATATGACTAGTTAAATTCAAACCATTATGATT